GGTCTCTGGTCTCTTAACTCCAGTATTTCTTCAGTTCTACCCTTACCTACAATTCTGTATCACTCTATAATTATCATTTCACTGTTCTTTTACTGTATTATCAGATTTCCATCACTGTGACAAAATATATGACTTAAACAGAGGAAAGACTTACCTTGGTTCATGGTTTCTCAGATGTCAGTCTCTGTTGGCCCGGTAGTTTTGGACTCTGGGTGAAGCAGTATGTCATGGTGGTAGCAGAAGTTGTGGTAGCTAGGAAACAGGGTAGGGGAAGGGATGTCAAATTCTTTAAGTTTATCCTTAAAGTAACTCACTTCCTGCATCTAGGCCCTGTCTCCTAATGATTCCACAACCTAGGTAGTGCCACATGCCAGTGAACAGTCCTTTCACATGTGAGCATTTGGAAAGCATTTAAAAGATTCAATCATGGGGGGCCTGGCCCTAGCTCAGTTCTTTAAGTGGCTGCTTCCACAATGCTGGCAGCCTCAGGTTGCTGTAGTTCAATCCCCACAACACTCCAGCCAGCCAAAAGTGCCCTGAAGGCATTCGAGGAGAAAAAAAAAAAAAGATTCAATCATGTATATAGGTAAAAAAGTTCTCATTCTGTACTCAGTAATAGTCATGTTCCTGCACATAAATGTATAATTCTACTTTTCCTTTGTCTTAAAATACATCTTTGCGTATGTACTCGTACAGTTTAAGATAGCATACTTAAGGCAGAACACAGCAGCCATGGTTCAATCCCTGGCTTGCTGTGTCAGCTCTGCCCCCAGGGTGTGCTGAGACAGTGATTAAGACTGGGCGTGGTGGCACACACCTGTAATCCTAGCACTTGGGAGGCTGAAAACAGAATCACTACACCTTGGATCTTACATGTAGTGAGACCTTGTAGACACTGTACTAAAATACATTAAAAAAAAAAAAAAAAAGATAGCATACTTAAAACACAAAGTTGATTCCTGTCATTTCAAATTCATGAACACCAGCCCTAAATGCTTTCTGGCAGTCTTACTTTTCTTCCCCAGCCCATTTATTTACCCTGTGTTGTAAGATCCACTGATCATTTCTGAGTCAGTATCTTTTTTACCTATCATCATTATTTGGCCCAATTAAACATTTTTCCCTCCAGATAAAACTTTCTTGGCTCTTGGGGCACTTTACTCTTGATTTTCTTTTTTCCTATAAAACAGTTCCTTTGCTGATTTTTCCTTAACTCTGACTTTTGACTGTTAAGAGTGTCCTGGAATATTATGGGCTTTCCACATTGGCAGAAGAAAAACCATTCCCAGGCCTTCTTTGCTCTTTACATTTCACATCTGATCCGTCAGCAGATCAGGTTAACTTTCCTCATTTTAGTGGAACCATGGTTTGGTTGTCACTCACTGTCAGCTCTGATCCTCTGTTAAACTATCATGTTCTTCTCCATGTAACTATAGCAGCTTATTAACTGATTTCACCTACTATTCCTTTTCCTACTCTCTTCACTACTTTTCCAGGTTGTTTTCAGAGCAGCTAGTCATATGAAAATACAATTTAGATCATTTTATTTCACCATCTTTCCTTACTCCCAAAGGCTTCCAAGTTCATATTAATAATCAAATTAATTTCATGGACGATGAGACTTACTTTGCACTTCATTTCCTATTACTTTCTTCTGTTTTCTTTATTCAGGACTTGACTCTCCCCCACCTCAACCCTTGCATTAGCCACTGTACCTTCTTAAATATTTTCCCTTTGATAATTGCGGGACTTACTCCTTTACCAGGACTTACTCCTTTTTTTTTTTTTTTTTTTTTTTTTTTTTTTTTTTT